CACAAACAAACACACGCTAGTGCTGTGGGGAGCATTTTGTTTTATTGCACCCATTTTGTAGCTTCCAATCTTTTTTTTGAATAAACAGTATGACGATAGTGAAGACATAACTAATTTGAGGGTGATGTACTGATACAAATGCTACACACAGCAGTTTTTAACACCCTTATATCTCTAAACTCCCGGCTATCCCTCCATCACCTTGTCTTTCATCCCTCGATGTCTCTTCCACTTAGAAAACCACCAGCACAGTGAAAATATGTAGAGCGCAAAGAATGCTGGGAAGTCATACAGGAAAACGATGAAGACGAATCCAGCAACTATGAGGATGCAGAGTAGACTGAGAATGTATAACACACTCCGCCATACAACACTATTGCACTCTTTTAGTTTGTCAGAGGAGGAACCTGGATGTTTGTGAGACGTATGGGCTGATGGATTGAAACTCTCCCTGTGGGTGTCTTCTATTTGTCTGACTGTGTCCTGACGGGTGACTGATCTTTCCTGTATTTGAGTGTAGTTTTCCTGATCCTTTGGAGAGCTTTGGGCTGGTTCAGTCAATGACGGCCTACTCTGAACAACTAAAATTGGGGTTAAATCTTGACTGAGATGAGCGATTGAATTCAGAGGTTCTGAGAGAAAGTGAGTTTGTTCTGCTGTGGTAAGTGACTGACTTCTCTCTTTTGGGGAGTATTCATTGCTCTTAGTGGCTACGGTTTGCTCTAGGCCTTGACAGAGACTTAAATTTGGATCTGTTGGCAGATATGTCAAGGAAAAAACACCAGAATCAAATGCATCATTGAAGTCCTTCTCAAATGGATCATGGCAATCTTGTCTAATATCTGGTACATCTGCCAGCTTGCCCTCCATTCCATTAACAATATCTGTGTCTCTATTGGAGGCCTGTTCTTTCCGACCGAACACCTCCTCCCAAATCCCCCTGACCAAATCGTCTGCAAATCTTTCTATGAACATCTCTTCTGATCCAGACTCCATCACTTCAAGTGCTACATCATTTTCTGCTGTAATAGGGTCTTTCGTTCCCTCTGACAATTTCTTATATTCAACACGTGGAGAGCCCTCAACTTCTGCTGACAACTCTTGTTCTTTCAATTCAGCTGGCGCATTCTCCGTCTCCCCCTGAGCGTTCTCCGCATTTCCCATAGACTCCCCCAGTACTTCTATTTTCAGCTTTCCAATACTCACCCTCTCATCTTTGTCTCTCTGACTCATATCTTCCTCTGTTCTTTCTAATGTCTCAGGTTGGTGTTGAAGCTCTGTTGAAGTGTCTCTCTTTGCAACATTCTTCTTCATCGCTTCTTCTGGGCTTAATTCACAGCCTTCATCCTCTTCCTGACCCTTCATGTCATCCTGGGAATGAGTCCATCTCATTTTTACCTCTTCCATGGGAGTTTGGTTGCATTTATCTGTTAGAAAAGGTCTGAATGTATCATGGTCACCTTGAAAGACCTTTTTCATTTCCCATGATTCCACTGTTTGTCTTGACTGTGGTGCTGGGTTTATTCCCTGTTGCTTCTCAATTATTCCATCACAACTCAAACCTTTTCCTTCCTCACTCTGATTTGAGACTAGTACTTGTTCATCTGTTTTAGATTCCACTGCATTTTCCTGTATTTGTGTCAGTGTTGAGTCCTCTGATTTCTCAATGCACTCCTCTTCCCCTGCTCTGATTGACCTTGACTGTTTAATATGCATTTCCGAAATTATCGACGTGTCTCCCCTCTGCCATGATAAATTACGTTGTAAGGCTTTGTCATAATGTTCCTCATTAAATACCTGAATAATTCCCTCTTCTGCATCAATTGGTGTCCTTATTTCATTGATTGCTGTACAAAAGCAAGGTTCCACCTCTGTCTTTTTACATGCTTCCATGTCTTTGTTATTTGATGCAACATCTTCCCTCTCGGATTCCTCCAATTTGGATTCACTTGCCATAATTTGGCTTTGCCTGAAAGACGTTTGGTTTGAATTGGATTCATCTGCATTTGTCTGTGCGAGTCTTATTTCATTTTTATCACTCTCATTCTCCTGTAATGGATTTTCACTGTTTTGGTTCAGCCTGAATTCCTCGTGTTGCTTTTCATCTGCATACCTCTGGGAGATTTTACACTCCTCTGTTTTCCGTGGCCTAAATATCTCCTCATCTGTAGCTCCTTTATTTTCCATACAGTTACTCCCTTCCTCCATTCCTTGTCTGGATGCGGAAAAGACAAACCTCTCCCCATCCTTTGTCCCCTTTCTGATTGTCCCCCTAAATGCCAGCGTGTCATCCGTCACATTGTGTGCGGTACCTGTAACCTCCCCTTCTCTGCTGGAAGAAAGACCCTCATCCAGCCTCGCTCCCTGTGAGATCCTATCAACGGCGGTGGCATTCTGAGACTCTGGCATTGCCGTCATATCTGTTGTCTCTGACTCCCCTGAGCTTGTTACTAAGTCAGCTGTGTGTGGTGCTAAGGGCTCATCTCGTCCTACTCCTTCTGCTTTCCCTTCTCTTTCTTGCTCCCTGATCGCATGCTTGTGACACTCAGTTGAACTGTCAGCATAGCCCTCGGACACAGGCGTTGCCCCCCTGAGGCAAAATTCCCGCAGAGTGTCTGTTACGGATTTTGTCGGTGACCTTTGGGATGCGTCTTGTGTCGCTGTGTTGTCATCTCTTGGGCTGTCGACACATGCCTCTGCCGGCTGGTGGTCTTCGGCGTTCGCGGCAACATTAGCCAATGCTATTTGGCAAGTATCTGACAGCAGCTGACATAAAGCTGAGGTGTGTGCATGTGAGCTGGTGGGCGCATCTGTGCCCACCTGAAATTCATGCTCTTGACTGCTTTCTACATATTGAGCATTGGGCTCTTTATCATCTGAGGGAGACACTAGCGCTGCTGTCTGCAGCCATTCTGACTCTAGAACAGCAGAATGATCCGTACAGCTTGGCCCATTAAGAAATGCCTGCCATGCGTCGCACACAGAGGTGTTTTTATCAGTGGTATCATCTGTACCGTTACCAAAGGTCCCCCACATATCACCAACGGAAGGTGTGTCCTCTTTATTTTCCTCTGACGCTTTTGATAGGGTCACTTTATCTCTTCCAGTCCAGATGTCGTCCATGTCAGCAGCCCCCCACTGATGGTCTTTGTCATTGTTCCAGTCCAGCGTAAGCAGAGGGATCTGGTGGTAGGTGAGCACCTGTGGACTCTCGTTGGATTGTTTCTTTTGGCGTTCATGGAGGAAGCCGGCAGAGTCGCCCCACAGAGTTGGCAAAGGCTGAGAAACTCTCTGGCTGTTGGCTGAGTCATGTGAATAAGCCTTTGAAACTCGCTGCCTCCTTTGGGTGAGGTAGTCCTGCACACGTGCCATACGTGCTACTCTGTGTCGGCTTTTTATGCTTTCCACCTGTCGAAAAGGCCAAAAGTCAAGCCAAGGGTTAATGTTTGATCTAGTTGAACTATAACTAGAAGCTACCAGTTTTGTCTGTCTTTAATGTCACAAGCTACTTTAAATCCTCATACTGACTTGATGATAAAACTGGATGCAATGGCCCATTCAGTTTTCTTAACGTTACTGTGATGATGCAATGCATTGCAAACACTGCTGCTACCTCAGCACATAAGCCTAATTTTGTTTACATCATCACCTTTACTGCACCTTTACAAGCAGGTTGCATTTATTATTAATAGTTTGCACAACTCAGACATGCTCTCAAGTGTCAGGTTAGCTGACTTTTGATATCCTTTTGGGGCCCACTGAGCACCGTGCAGTATGACATGCGTCTTTGCCTCAGCTATTGTATCTTTGCAGAAACAACACACATACTTCCTCACTTTATATTTACAGTTCATATCTGCAGCTGGAGACATGCTGACTGGCATGGATGGTGAGGAGTTGTGTTGCTGTGAACAGTGTTTACTTCTGGGTGATGTCTGTGTTTGATTTTTTACACAGACTTCAAAAAGAGTCTGTTCCTCCAGAAGATGATAAATGAACCTCACCAAAGGTTTGTGTTCTTCCTGGTAAAGTAATGATTGTACATCTGTGCTGTTCTTTCTGTTAGCCTCCTCTGCTTTAGGTGTAGCCTCTGCATCTGCAAAAAAAAAAAATAAAAAAAATACAAGGGTCAAAATTTGCTTGCACACTCATATACACACACACACACACACACACACACACACACACACACACACACACACACACACACACACACACACTTAATTCATGTACATGCATGCATGCACACACATGGAGACATTTAAGGGGAACAACGACCATTTTAAGAAAACGATTATATTATTATGGAGGCTATAAAACGTGATGGAGAAATAAATACTGCAACCTGCTCATGAAATCCACTGGAACGCTGAACTCCATGACAGGATTTGGACAGCAGCTAGCTTGTAGTTACAGTGAGGAACAGCACTCCAGGAAGGCCATCATGTTATACAGCCTCCAGAATAATATCTTTTTTTTTTTTTTTAAGTGACCATTGTTCCCCTTTAAGTATACACACCTGCAGCAGCTGTTGATGGGTTACTGGTCTCCCTGGTCTTTTCCTCTGCAGTTGCCCTCCTATGTTTCAAAATGATTCAGAAATAACATTACATAAACTAACATGTTTTTTTTTACAGCTATTAAATCCCATTCTTTTTACATTCTGTTGTATTTATTCATGTTTGGCTGTATTTGCCTCTGTGAATGGTCAAACCATTCCAGCTTTTCAAAGGATAGGAGCATTTAAATTACTAAAGTTTCATGAAATTGTAAAATAAACAGTCTCTGCATTTGATCTGAGATCCTCAATACACTTTATTCTGCTGTTTTTCTTCGTCTCATCTGTACTGCACCTGCTAAGATTATGATACACAGTAAGAGGTGTAACACTAAATAGCTGGGATACTTATTTCCATGCAGAGAGCATATGCTTGTACCAGCAGCCTTTGAAACTGAGACAATGTAACTATTAATCGTGTGTAATGTGTTTGTCTGCTGTATTATCCCGTTTCCAGAGCTTTTATTCTGCAGCAAGTCAGACCAGAACAAGAGGAACGAATGTCCCTAAAGCAGAAACAAAGCATTTTGTGAATTGGAGTCAAAGAGGAGAAAGTGAGCATATCTGACTGTCTAAGCCACGGTGAGACGTCATGGAAACCTGGACAGACACCTGACCTTAAATGGGCAATATGTGTTCTGCAGTCCAAACATCCATTACTGAAAAGTTACATAAGCTCTTACTGTAAACACACAATTGCCCTTCCAACTTCCTCCTAATGAGAGAGCAGCACAGTTCAAACACTCACACTGTGTCAAATTTCCTATCATGGCAAATGAGTTATTTGGGACCTTTTCTTGTGACAAAAATAACTTAAATAACAAAAGTGTGATGTGACTTCCTTCAGCAGAGGCATGTTTTAAAAAAAACAAACATTGAGAATTAGCTTCTCTCACCTGATAGCTTTGAGACAGCTCCTCTTGCTCTTGTAGCCGATACTCTCCTCTTGCACTTGAGGCCCATGCTCCTTTACATGTCCTTTCCGGTGGCAGAACAGCACATAGTTCATTTCCTTGTTATTCGCCCAAAAAGTGCCCACTGAAGTTTCATAGCGTAGACATATCTCCACTCTGGTCCCCCCTCGTTCAAAGGGAGGCACCAGAGTATACTTGAAGGTAAACCTGTCTGTTTTCCTATCGCTGGATCCAGGCACATACTCCGCTGACAGGTCAAAGTAGTTTGTCCAGCGATCCAGGGTCATCCGGGCATTGACAGACTTGCTGTAGCACAGGTTGACCACCCTGATCATGCCACGGAGTGTGGTGGTTCCCGGGAGGAGCTCGATGTTTTCGAGCTCAACCATCTGGTCTTGGAGCCTCTGGTCTAGCTCTTCTGGGGATGAGGGAACAGTAAACAGACAGGACATGGAGAACTCCTCGAAGGGATGGGTCGCCTCATTTTTAGGGGGCTGGCTGACGTCTAACTCTGCTACTTCAGGGTTGTCAAACTCCTTAACTGACACCAGGTTTAGCCCGAATGCATCTGCGAATGACACCTTCCTCCGACTGACCTGTGGGGGCTCCGGTTCGGAGTCCTCATCTGTTTCATCGTCCGTGGTGGAACCCATCGGAGATGAGGCCTTCATCCCTCCCTCTTCCCGCTCCCTGTTTTTTTCACTCTCCTCTTCCATAATCTCCCCTTCCTCTTCCAGGGTTGAGATGTGCAGACCCTCCATAATGCGCGGTGGTCTGAGAGGCAGCTGTCTGCCCGTCCTGCCGTCTGTCTGGCTTGGAGGGTGGCACGGACCAGAGTGCCCCTAGCCTGGCTGCAGTGATACTGTAGAAAGGAGAGCAGGCAGAGGACGTGACTTGACAGATGGAGTTCGGTTACAGCTGAACATTGTGAGTCTGAGCCAGGCCTATTAATAGGACGCATATAACTGGACCAGGGCAGGCCAGTTATCCTCTCAGTTATCCCCGCACAATATGTTTGCTAGTTACAAAATAAATAAAGGGAAATACAGCTTATATAAAGCACTTTAAAGTACAACTCGTGTTTAAACAGGTCCATGTTTGAAATATATTGACAGTGTCTATATTTTGCTCCTTCAAATGTGAAAATTGTCCAAGATCCAAGCTAATAATCTGTTTTTTAACTTTGTTACGGCATAATAAAAAACACAATAATGACATGGCTGAGATGGGAATTTTAATCCGAGTGTAGTGGAATGATACGATGTCTTTTGCACAGCTGGACAGCTTTATGTCAGATGGAGATGGTGCTTCTCTCAGGGTTTGCATGGAATTGGAAACTGAACTAACACTTGCAAGCAATATTCATCAGTGTGAACAATATTGTATTTGGTTTAATTTGCTATAACTGGATATTTAATAAAAATGCAGTTGGTTTTCCAGACTGAAATATCTCACCATTGATCGCATTGCCATTCAGTTTTGTACAGATATTGATGTCTGCATGAATGGTAGTGACTTTGGTGATCCCTCAACTTTTCATTTAATTTACATAATGTCGTGCAGCAGGATGCTGCAGTGAGTTGACCTGCAGTTGAATAAGCAAAGTTTTAAGAAGTACTGAAGTATCCCCAGCACATTGTCACCCCTACCTGCTGCATGGGAAATGCTCTGGAGCTGATTCTGACCTCTGACCTCCATGTGCAGACAGCAAAAAAAGAAAATTCCCTGTTGAGATCGATAATGTCTCAAATTATTATAAGTGCTGGTACTGTGCTTGAGAGGTCTCTGGATTGAGTATCTGCAGATCCTCTTGTATCATTGTGATTGCAGGCAGCCTTCATTCTTTAGGTTCACTGCATCGTGGAACAGAAGACTGAGGATTGTTCTGTTCTTTGGAGCGAGCTGAGTTCTTGTGTGTGTGTGTGTGTGTGTGTGTGTATGTGTGTGTCACCGTCTCGGCTAGGAAGTTCAACTAATCCTCGATGTGCAGTGTAACTATACCCCCAAATCCAGTATATCTTGTAAATAGACTTCAGGGCTGGTTATACAATCCTTCACAGGTAGGTGAGCAGCTTTTTATCCTCAAAGGACCCTTTGTTCTACGTTTTTTTAAGCCAAAGGTTCTCTTGTTACTTTTAATTGCAGTTTTGGACTTTAAATAGTATCAGAAATTCTCATTTGCAACTTTTGTAAAGGCAGATGTATATGAACAAGTGTTAAAAACGCTATTTATTAAAAGTTACATACAATTATTCAAGACACTGCCAACACCTCTATGCATACAGTCTGTAACACTCTAATAATATTCCAAAAGTAATCAGCTGCTACTGATTTTTTTAAATTTATTCCATTTTAAGAGTTCACAATTAGACAGTAAACTGACAAAGTATGAGGAACAACTTGCACTACTACACAAAGCAATTAAAAGCTAAATCAACACCTCTTTAAAAGTGTTAAAACAAATGTGTTTGCTCCAATTATTTTGTGAATTCTATGTCTAATGTATATCAGTAGATGGCACCATGTGATCAGATTAGAAAATATGTCAAATTAGACGACACATCAGCCAAATTAATTTGCATTTCCAGTTTGTGATAATGAGTTCCAATTGTGCAGATTGTGTTGGAGAAATAAAATCAAACATTCAACATAAAGAGAAAGGAGAAATAAGAAAACTTCTCAGTTATTTACAGTCCGTTGTCTCACGTTACCTCGGACAGACTGTTAGTAGAAATGACCAGTAGGTGGCAGCACGCCACCACAATTCCACCATACTTGTTTCCTCATCACTTCCGAGATACTGTTTCCTTCTACTTTTTATTTGATGGATTTTTAATTAGCAATAAGGAACTCTTCCACAAACAAACACAAAAATACAATAGACCAAATGATTGCATGTTAGGGACTACGATACTTCTGTCCCATTTTTACAACCCGAACAATACTTGTTTTTAGCACATTCATTTTAATTTTCTCTAACAATTTTTCTTGAAAGCCAGGCCAGTCTTGGGACATTTTGGATGTACTGAATAGTAACGGTGCATCATATTCCCATTAATGCCCACCAATGTCGGAAAGTTTGAGAAGTAGACCTACTGGGAAGGGATGACACTATTATATTAATATGAATAATAATCACAAATAAGAAGTCGAGTATTTTTTATGCCTTTACAAAAATCTCCGGGGAAACACACTGAATGCAAACTGTGCTTCTTTCATTCAGGGACAAAAAAATGCACAAATCACATTTAGCACAATCAGTCAGTATAAAAATCGATATTAACAACATTAAATACAATATAAAATGTTGACAGTAGAGAGAATAAGACAAAAATACACGTTTCTTACATTTTTAAAACGTGTACCCCTCCCTTTCTTTTTATTCCAGTTGATAATAATCTGGTCATTCATTTCTTGACCGTGAACGTGTCGGCGGTTTGAAAAAAAAGAGAAGAAAAGAAAGAGGAGACAGAAGAGAGCAATGCCTTTTAACTACTGTTAAAAGTACGATCTCCTATTAAATGAATAAATAGGCTAAATTACCTTGTGAAGGTATGAGAGAGTGGAGAACAAAAAAAATCCTTCAGTCAAAAAGTGCATCTACATCTTTTTTGTAATAAAGTATTGATTTAGCAGTGATTTTATTGGAGGACATTTAGAGTGAGTCTCTAAACTTATGTTTACATTAAAATACGCAATTGCGTATGATGATAATTGTAATTCGTAAGATATTACCGTCATTGATCACCCATCATTTTGCCGTATGCATACACGATCATTAATGCATTTATGTTTCACTGCAAACTGAATAATACGGTGGATGTCAAATGTATTTAAAAAATAAAGCCTTATTTAAAAAAGTGTGCCCAAAAATGCCATACCTGATGCTGAGGTTTAAATCCGGACTTGGAGGATGCTGAAGATATAGTCTATTTAGTTTCCTGCTTTACACAATCAAAAACATGTTATCTTAATAGTGTATCCTCTTGATTCATTTCACCAACAATGTTTAGCCTTCTGATTTATTCTTTAGGTATAAATAGTGTGTGAGCGAAGTAGTTTACTGTACAAATATAACACACAACTTCCCATAAGAATATCTTAAAGATTAGAGGGGAAAATAATAGGTGGACGTTAGATCTCGGTCACTGTTGAAGAAGGATACCACAGAAAAAGTAGACTTGTTGATATATTACAGGAACATCACGGGGATATTTATTGTTTTGTTTGTTTTCATGCCGTTTGCAGAATAAACATTCTCAGATTGGGCAACGGGCGCACTCAGCCCGTCTTTCGGTCGGAAGAAACCGTCCCGTTACTGGAAGGTTACCGGTTCACTCCCCGACAACAATGCACGACTATCGCGGAAGCTTCCTTTAACACTCAACTCTCCGATATGAGCGACCGCTAATAACGGGAGAAATACCACAGCGCGAGACATTTGCAAAACGGGAAAAAAACTTTTATTTTTTAATTACTTTTTGTTGACATAGCAGGTGGCCCTGACGTCACACGGGGTCGCAGTACGCCCAAGAATAACAACACACACCTCCGCGCACAAGCAAGTGCCTCCCTGGGGTGTGTGTGTGTGTGTGTGTGTGTGTGTGTGTGTGGGGGGGGTGTTTCTAGTCCCAAATATACTTGCTTGCTGGGATACTGCTTGATGTGTGTTTGAATCGCAACGAGGAAAAAAAAAAACAAGCCGCGTCTTCCTCGCATTGCGCGTCATTCAAACAGGACTCGGTGTACTGCTTTTCCCTCTGTTGCATTAGTAATAACAGCGGCGTTGACGGGAGACAGCAGGAGAGAGTGTGTGTGTCTCCGACAGCGGTGCCCAGCGGAGGAATATTCGAGCTTTTTTTTATTTACTCTGCAGCTTGTTGTTCATCTGCGTTATGGTGAACTTGGACAGTCACGTGTGAAGACATCTCTGCAAACACTAGAGAACGGCTACTCCTCACCTGGTGTGTCCCTTTGACTTTTTTTTTCCGCGAGGAAAATAGAAAAGGCTACCTGCCATTTTTTTTTGTTGTGGTAAGTTTTTTTCTGCCCTAGAGCATGTTTTCTCTCCGCACTCTTTAGACTTTTTGAAATTAGGAAGTGGACCGCCGGCCACACGTTTGTCCTGTGTTGTCTCGCGCTTTGCGACTTGACTTGCGACATCATTATTTACACGTTGCGCGTGGACTTCCTGTGTTTTTGTTTTTTTTAATTACCGAGCGGCTGTTAACATATTTCACCCAGGCTATTGTAGATCGCCCTTTTCATATTGGACCTTTTAGACACCTCTGTCCAGGCTGTGCCTGCTCTGATCGCTGCACGCGCACTTCTGAAAAGCCGAGTTATTGTTTCCCATCTGCACATTGTCTTAACATTTTAATCCAAGTTGTAAATGCGGCTTGCAAATTGTAGCGATTTGTGTTTACCACCAAGTGATGAATGACATCTAAAACAAATTTTGAAAGAAGTTGTCAGAAATGTGCTGAATTAGGTAATATTTGGCTGTTGGTAAGTTATATTTTAATTTGATCTACTCACTTTGAACAATATACAATGTCAGATTATATCTGCATTAATGTTCCTGAAAACCATTTTGATATATATTTAGTGTGTGCTGTCATGTATTGGTTATTGTTAAATTGCATTAATTACTTAAAACAAGTAAACAGTGAAATAATTATGTGTAATACATCTCGTTATTGTTAAATCTTATACAGATTACGTATGGCATATTTTCTTATTTTTTAGATAGTCCAGGATTTCTGCAGTTTTGAAATTCCTTTAGTGTTGTAGCCATGGCATTGTCATCTGTGACACACAAGGGTGGCATATCGTTTTAAAATATCTTTTCTTATC